ACACGAGGAGAGCTGGAGCTTTGATGGAGTCAGGACTCAGAGAGACACGAGGAGAGCTGGAGCTTTGATGGAGTCAGGACTCAGAGAGACACGAGGAGAGCTGGAGCTTTGATGGAGTCAGGACTCAGAGAGACACGAGGAGAGCTGGAGCTTTGATGGAGTCAGGACTCAGAGAGACACGAGGAGAGCTGGAGCTTTGATGGAGTCTGGACTCAGAGAGACACGAGGAGAGCTGGAGCTTTGATGGCAAACACTGACGGTTTATTTGGAGCTGATAATTCACAAGACATGTCACGGGCCACGATCTGACCACACGGTTGAGATGCCAAATCAATTCTGAAGACCCCTCCTGTAGCTCCAGGTTTGAACTAGTTCAGAGTGTAATAATCAACATTCTTCAATAGAGAGACTAAACAGCTGAGGACACTGAATCACATTTGTTGTCGCTTATGGCTCGGGGTCATTTACACCCCGAGAAGGATGTGTTCCAGGTGTCCCACAACAATGACTATCTCTGACCGAGAGCTGCCTGGTCACAAACTGGTAACAACAACAACTTGCTAGGGCAGCGCCTCCTTAAGGGAGATAGCATGCTGCCCAAGGCTGGGCATCTGCGTCAGAGGGCGAAAGGAGGACATGCAGGGCAAATTATTCCCTGACAGTCTCAATGGTGGGAAAAGAGAACATTGTAACGTGGATCTTAGAACAGCAAACTCCCTTGACATTTTTAAAAGCAAATTAAAAACCTAGCTTTTTAATATGGCTTTTAATTTGGGTTAACTTTAAATTCTCATTTGTATCATTGTCCATGTTTTACTGTGTTTTTTCTGTTTTGCTTTTATTTTACATTTCTAATTTTCTTTTTTAAATTGTTTAAATTGTTTAAATTGTTGTTGCATTTTAATTTCTTGTCAGCTTTAATTAACGGGAATTTTATAAAGGTCTATTACATCGTTGTGCAAAAATAAATAGCCATGTGTTTCTGTTTGTTACAGGGAGAGTGGATACTTTCTGAGTAATGGGCTTTCAGAACAATGGGCTTTTGTATTCGGGATAACAAGTTGTCGGACAAATTAGCTTTTGGTCCAATGGGAATATTACCAGACTCTAATGCTTCCGTAAATGTATTTATTTGTTTTACAAACCTAGAAATATCAGCTTAGATGTATGCAGGTTACATGTAGTAACCTGCCTGAAATGCAAGATGCTTGCTAGTGCGATAGGTCAAGCTATAAATCAACTTCTGAGGAAGAGATTAATACAGGTAGTGCATCGAGTATTAATCAGCATGCCACTTTATCTGAATCCATAAGCAGCTTTTACATTATTGATACGTTTTTTTTTTTGGGGGGGATAAGAAATATAATACATCATACATCTAGTTATAAATGGTCCCTAATTATTCAGCGTGCCTCATCTTCATTGGTTGTCTGTCAATTACTATTTTCTCATTATAGTTCCTTAATTACATTTTCACTGACTATCTTTTTTATAATTCGGTTTTATCAGAGACACAGGCAGAAATGGACTTGATACTGCCATGCTATATTTGTGTAATAGGTAATTACTTATATTCAAGTCAATATTTGTATTTTGTGCCTCTTCTGTGACATTTCTCCATGCTTTAATGTTCAAAAAGCTCTTTATTTTTCTCATACTGCAGCACCTCTTTACCTAGTTACGTAAAGGTTGAGTAAAATATATTTAATGTATCATGAAGCATCCGTTAAACGAATAAAGGAATCACATGGTTGTTAAATGCGGTCTTGCATAAAGCTAGACATTTAAAGAGGACATATTATGATCATGTTCAGGTGTATATCAGTATGTCGTGTCTCTACTTTAAAGAGTCCTCTTCTGCTGATGTTCAGGTGTATATCAGTATGTAGTGTCTCTACTTTAAAGAGTCCTCTCCTGCTGATGTTCAGGTGTATATCAGTATGTAGTGTCTATACTTTAAAGAGTCCTCTCCTTCTGATGTTCAGGTGTATATCAGTATCTAGTGTCTCTACTTTAAAGAGTCCTCTCCTTCTGATGTTCAGGTGTATATCTGTATGTAGTGTATCTACTTTAAAGAGTCCTCTCCTGCTGATGTTCAGGTGTATATCAGTATGTAGTGTCTCTACTTTAAAGAGTCCTCTCCTGCTGATGTTCAGGTGTATATCAGTATGTAGTGTCTCTACTTTAAAGAGTCCTCTCCTGCTGATGTTCAGGTGTATATCAGTATGTAGTGTCTCTACTTTAAAGAGTCCTCTCCTGCTGATGTTCAGGTGTATATCAGTATGTAGTGTCTCTACTTTAAAGAGTCCTCTCCTGCTGATGTTCAGGTGTATATCAGTATGTAGTGTCTCTACTTTAAAGAGTCCTCTCCTGCTGATGTTCAGGTGTATATCAGTATGTAGTGTCTCTACTTAAAGAGTCCTCTCCTGCTGATGTTCAGGTGTATATCAGTATGTAGTGTCTCTACTTTAAAGAGTCCTCTCCTGCTGATGTTCAGGTGTATATCAGTATGTAGTGTCTCTACTTTAAAGAGTCCTCTCCTGCTGATGTTCAGGTGTATATCAGTATGTAGTGTCTCTACTTTAAAGAGGCCGGTTCTGTTTGTTTTTCCAGATTGTTCTTCCTTATCTCCACCCTGTGTGTGTCCGAGCAGCAGTAGAGATGAAGTGCGACTCTGCTATCTGTGTCTTCTTCTTCTTCATAAAGCTAGCTGTACTTTCACATTTACCAGATAAAAGCATCAACGTTAAGCCCTGAATGTACTTTTTATCTCCACTGAAACACAAACTTTTAATGTTTTTTGTGTGTACTTTCCCTGTGATTAGATGTCCAAATAAAGTGTCAGCCTATCCTATCAATAACGTCTGACTTGGAAGAACAGAAAACATAATCTCATTTTAATGAGGACTTCAAACATCATTATTCAAAATCCATCAAGCTTGTTTTTGCATTTGGCAGATGCAAAGACTCTTTTTGAGACTCAAATCTATTTTACCAATGCAATCTGCTGAGCAAACAAGAGGGTTTAATATTCATAGTGGTTCAAAAAGCAGGCTTTGGAGGATGTGAGCAAAATACATAATGGATATTTGGAATAAAACATTGGTTCTTAGTCTCTTTTAACCCTCACAGGACTCAAGGACTATTACATTTCTGGTCTCATATGACATCCGTTTATTTAGTATCATTGTTATATAATATTATAATTCAAGGAGATACTACTTTACTTAGGAATTAGCATATTCCGCCCCTGGAGATTGAAAGTCTGAGTGAGACTGTTTGTTTACCCTTTGACATGAAAATAAGCCTATTATTTTTTTAAATAAAGAAAACAGTTCTGCGGCAGAGAGCTCACCCACAAACCCCTTCAGAAAATCACCTTTCCATCTCTTTGCTAATTTACTCCCTGCAGAGCTGAGAATTGGTGTGACAGATTACAGCGAGCGACAAACTCCTTAATAAACATTTCAATATTCAAACCCCGAAAATTGTTTTCATCTGCTGCTTAGTTAAGTCAATTTTCTCAAGATGTTAGCGAGTGCAGAACGAAGGAGTGTGAAGGAAAATCCCCAACACACACATCTGTGCCGAGTGCATGCTGTGACGTGGCAGAAAGAGATGAGAAAGAGACAGTGAGGGAAATCAAAAGCTTTTTCAATTAACTGATTAGGAATCAAAACAAATATTTGTTGAGTATTATAATATGATGGATGTTTTGCGGCTCATATAATTGATCGCTGCTGTGGAGGAAGGAGTGAAAACATTTGCAGAAATACGGATCCGTTGCAAACACACGTGTATGATACTTACACGTTTTGTTCAGCAGTATAATCTCTTAACACCACTTACATTATTTCTGGGGCGTAAATACAATCTCCAGTAGAAACAAGTTAGGCTATAAAGGAACTACAGCACGGTCACATGACTTCACGTCACCACCGCTAAGCTAAAGGTGGCTAATGTTGGGCTATAAAGGAACTTCAGCACGGTCACATGACTTCACGTCACCATCGCTAAGCTAAAGGTGGCTAATGTTGGGCTATAGAGGAACTACAGCACGGTCACATGACTTCACGTCACCACCGCTAAGCTAAATGTGGCTAATGCTGGGCTATGAAGGAACTACAGCACGGTCACATGACTTCACGTCTCCACCGCTAAGCTAAAGGAGGCTAATGTTGGGCTATAAAGGAACTACAGCACGGTCACATGACTTCACTTCACCACCGCTAAGCTAAATGTGGCTAATGCTGGGCTATAAAGGAACTACAGCACGATCACATGACTTCACGTCACCACCGCTAAGCTAAAGGTGGCTAATGTTGGGCTATGAAGGAACCACAGCACGGTCACATGACTTCACGTCTCCACCGCTAAGCTAAATGTGGCTAATGCTGGGCTATGAAGGAACTACAGCACGGTCACATGACTTCACGTCACCACCGCTAAGCTAAAGGCGGCTAATGTTGAGCTATAAAGGAACTACAGCACGGTCACATGACTTCACGTCTCCACCGCTAAGCTAAAGGAGGCTAATGTTGGGCTATAAAGGAACTACAGCACGGTCACATGACTTCACGTCACCACCGCTAAGCTAAATGTGGCTAATGCTGGGCTATGAAGGAACCACAGCACGGTCACATGACTTCACGTCTCCACCGCTAAGCTAAAGGCGGCTAATGTTTGGCGTGATGACGTTTCGTCGTCTCATTTAGACACTTGTCAGCAACCGCCGTTTTCTTGATTCACCAGTGGGGTATTTACTGCTGTATTTTATGTCGGAGAACAAAACGTGAACGAGGGAACCAGAAGTGGTAAAATGTCGACTCATTTCGTGGCTTTTCAATCAATTTTTCGATATTTTGAACGAGGTAAAGTTACATTCTACACATTTTAAAGCCAGTAGGACGGAAAACAATAAACAAAGGTCATTGCAAATGCCAGCAATCGGTGAGTGCACTGCTCTGTAAATCCCAGCCCAGATGGAAGTGCTCACTGACCTTATGATGAAGTCACTGGAGTCGATGAGGTTCCCGTATCGAGACCCCTTCAGGTTCCCAGAGTTCCCCACCACAGAGCAGGTTCTGCAGCGTTCTGGCCCGGCGTCCATGTACAGAATCTCATCGGGGATGACTTGGAACAACTCGTCCACCACTTCAGTGAAGTTAGCCGGCTGCCTCTCTGACTGCAACCACTGGAGACACAGAGCTCAATCTCAATCTTTATTTATATAGCACATTTAAAGGTCTCCTATTATGCTATTTTTAGGCATATATTATTGGTCTCAGATATATAAAAAACATGTCTGTGATGTGTTTTGCTCAAAATACCAAACAGATCACCCATTCTAGCCTCATTCCACTTTATTTCAACCCTGTTACTAAAGTGCTGATTCTGGGTATATAGCTTTAAAAAAAAAAAAGAAGAAATTGCGGGTTAACCACAAGGTGGGTTCCTTTTTATTTCCTGCTTCTTTACACATACTCTCTCCAGTACAGGTTAGCTCTGAGTGTTAGCGATGCTTGCTAATGTAAACAAAGACCATATTAAGTCCAAAACACGTCATGCATTGTTTCTGACAGCAACGTTTCTGATAGTGCCGTGGGTCCACATTTAAGATATTACATCATATCGGCAGCAAATCTGGATCACCCTCCGTTGTTCCCCCCCGTTTTTAGAGATGTGGGTACGGTGGAAAAGAGAGAGGGTTTTGTTTTCTGACACTTTGTGAGTTCCCTGACACACCGGGGACACATATTTATGTATAAAAGACATCTAAAAGTGCATTTTGCATGATAGGTCCCTTTAAAAGCCAGTGCAAAGAGGTGTTTTTAGCTGAGATTTAAAAAGTTCCATAGACTGAGCAGTTGGGATATGTACTGGGAGACCTCAGAGAGAGAGAGAGGGCCACTTTAAGCTGTGATTGAAGGGCAGCGGTGTTTGAGACACCGAGCACATTTCAAAAAATAACCTCAGGGGCGCTTAGCATGGTCTGTAGGGGCTCTTTTGGAGCTGGCCTTCTTCTGGTGGCTTTGAACTCGGAGAGACAGGAAATAAAAGCAGGAGTGTGTGAGTGTGAGTGTGTGTGAGTGTGTGTACAGTGTTCTGTTGTGCTGCTGGAAACACAGTGCAGATTCACAAGGTTCTGCAATCTTTAACGCAAAGTGATTCATGCTCCTAATATCACGCCTTTTCACCTTGCCAATACAATACTGGGGGAACCATTAAGCACTTTTCTTTATATTTGACAATAAAATAGGGCAATAAAATATATTTTTTACTGAAATATCGTTTTTAATCATAGGACTAAACTCCCAGGTAACACAACATATATTGGACATTTTTATCCAAGCCCTTTATACAATACAGTTTGTTGATTGTGTGATTTTAAATGTGCCTTCAGAGAATTTTGTTGCATTTGTAAAACTATTCCAAATGCTTTAATACAATAACAAATCAGATGTTCTATTAAATTGTCTGAATTGAGCTTGGTGAACAGGAATAACAAAGTAGTTGCTTAAAAATTGAACACATTTTTTTATTTCTGATATCTTAAATGGCCAATTTCACAAACAATACAGACATTTAGGAGCAAACTATAAATAATGTTTATCCAGCTGCTGAAATCATAGCGTATGGATTCAAACTGAAAGTATTATCCTACAGAACAGTACAGCTTAAAGAGAATAAATGAAATCTGATCCTTTTACAACAAACATATGCTCTTTTTAGTTGTTTACTTACATTGCAATCCTGCTAGTAATCCCCAATTTTTTGAAAAGTAACAGTAATCTGATTTTTAAATGCAACTGTAAGGGAATAGTTACCTTTTTTGTATCCTGATAACGTCCAACCATTACAAGTAATCCACAAAGCCTGAAGCTAATGTCTACTATTATGATCCGTTGAATTTTCGGAATATTGGGATGCAGATTAGAATTTTCCAAATGGGGGGGTTCGTTTAGCATGAAACACTTGAAATAACTAAAGGATAAATTGGTACCACTTTACAATAAGACTACCCTTAAGAACCATTTATAAATACATCAACACAGGCTCACTATTTGGCAAGATGACTAAGCCTTATATTGGCTACTTAGCGAGAATCAACTCATTACATTACATTACATGTCATTTGTTAGACGCTTTTATCCAAAGCGACTGTGGACAATCCCCACAGGAGCAATCTGGGATGAAGTGTCTTGCCCAGGGACACAACGACATGCTGACTGCAGTGGGACTCGAACTTGCTACTCTCTGATTCCAAGTCCAGCACTCTATCCACTGAGCCACAGCCTCCCAACTCAGTGAGCAACAGATACCAAGGATGCTGGCTGATGAAGAAGATGAAGTAAGCTAAGTAGCCAATATAAGGCTTAGCAGTACAGATAAATGTGGGCTCACTATTTGGCAAGATGACTAAGCCTTATATTGGCTACTTAGCGAGAATCAACTCAGTGAGCAACAGATACCAAGGATGCTGGCTGATGAAGAAGACGAAGTAAGCTAGGTAGCCAATATAATGCTTAGCAGTACATATAAATGTGGGCTCACTATTTGGCAAGATGACTAAGCCTTATATTGGCTACCTATCTGTTGTTCACTGAGTTGATTCTTCCCCATCCATTTTGATGTTTCTTGGCATCTCTTATGACCATTTATTTACGAGTTACTAACATTTATAGTTGCCAAAAGGGAGCCTTATTGTAAAGCAGGGGGGCCAAAATTTGACTTTTTTTCTTCAAAATATGCCTCTTTTCTCAGAATTTGACTTTTTTTTCAAAATGTCACTTCTTTTTCAAAATGTCACTTTTTTTTCAAAATGTCACTTTTTTTTTCAAAATGTCACTTTTTTTTTCTAAATGTCACTTTTCCCCCAAAATGTCCCTTTTTATTTTTTTCAATTTTTTTCAGAATTTGGCTTTTCTTTTTTAATCATTTTGTGACATTTTTTGATATAGTCTTAAAGTTACAACCGGCCCTTTTAGTACAGCGGATAAGCTCTCATATTATAACAATTGTGCATTTTATGAGAAAAGCATGACATTTCTAACATAGTTAGAGCATACCATAAGGTTTATTTTCAGATGTGGAGGGAAGTCAGATTTGACCCGTGAGGACCGTGAGAGGTCAAATCCAAGATGGCCACCAGTCTCTCGGGTCAAATGTTCAAACACGCTTAATTTTGGAACCAAACATTGTAGAAAAACATTTAAGGTGTCATATCCAACTAAATTAGGGATGCCCAATCATTTGGTGATACTTTTGAGATTGCCAGAATTCAAGAAAATGAATTTAGTTGAAGATAAAGGTAGAAATTGACCAAAAATAAGTTGTCAATCAGTTGAAATTTGGTGTGTGTGTGTGTGTGTGTGTGTGTGTGTGTGTGTGTGTGTGTGTGTGTGTGTGTGTGTGTGTGTGTGTGTGTGTGTAAATTAGGGATGCCCAATCATTTGATGATACTTTCGAGATCGCCAGACTTCAAGAAAATGCATTTAGGTGAAGATAAAGGTAGACATTGACCAAAAATAAGCTGTCAATGAGTTGAAATTTGCTAAATGTGTGTGTGTGGTATATTCCAGTGGATTTATGGTCACCCAGCGCTAGCATTACTACAGAGACTGGAGGAATATGGCTTTACTTGGCACAGTCTGCATGCTGATGAAAACATTTGTTTTTGTCTTCAAATACATACTAACATGATTGTGACGAGCATCATATTTGTTCCCCGCCCAACTCTCTAAGTCTAAGTGCTTGAACTCCGTGACAGGAGGATGAAGTATGTATAAATGGATGGAACTATTAACAAAACAGCGTTTTATTCCCCAATGTCATATTTAATAGAAAAATAATAATAATGTAAACCAAAGAGGGAGATGGAAAACAGTTCCATGTAGAGCACAAACAGCTCTCTTAACCTTCGCTGTTAACAAAGGGCTGCACTCAACTATAAGGTTCACCGCTGTCCCTTTCCACTTATAGAGGGTTGGGGTTCAATTCCCTGCCTGTCCACCTATAAAGCCAAGGTAGCGCAGCTTTTTTTCTGTTCTTTAGTGGCTCACATGGACATTTAGAGGTCATGCAAAGAAAGGGTTATCTATGTTGTGTGTGTGGCAGAGAGAACATTGGCAAAGGGGATTTGTTTGTCCTAGCATGGCTGTACAATTACAAATACAAAGGTTTACCCATTTAGACTCCATGGCATGGAGAAAAAAACTAATTTTAAATGACTCTAAGGATATAACAAGTTTTAGAAAATTGAAAGATTGATGGATTTTTGCCCACATGCGGTAAACATCTTAATTGAATTGTCTATGTGCAACATGAGGACAATAACCACAAGTGTACTCACAGTACCTTTTTTCTCTGGCACTGAAGTTGCAAGGTTTCAGCATGTTGTCCCTCTCTAAACCTTTCTGTTCCCCATTCTTCTTTCTCCAATAAGTGGTGCATCATTATTTTTCTATTAAATATGACATTGGGGAATAAAACGCTGTTGTTTTGTTGATAGTTCCATCCATTTATACATACTTCATCCTCCTGTCACGGAGTTCAAGCACTTAGAGAGTTGGGCGGGGAGCAAATATTATGCTCGTCACAATCATGTAAGTATGTATTTGAAGACAAAAACAAATGTTGGCTTCAGCATGCAGACTGTGCCAAGTAAAGCGATATTCCTCCAGTCTCTGTATTAATGCTAGCGCTGGGTGACCACACACACACACACACACACACACACACACACACACACACACACACACACACACACACACACACACACACACACACACACACACACACACACACACACACACATACCATGTATGAATTTCAACTGATTGACAGCTTATTTTTGGTCAATTTCTACCTTTATCTTCACCTAAATGCATTTTCTTGAATTCTGGCGATCTCAAAAGTATCACCAAATGATTGGGCATCCCTAATTTAGTTGGATATGACACCTTAAATGTTTTTCTACAATGTTTGGTTCCAAAATTAAACGTGTTTGAACATTTGACCCGAGAGACTGGCGGCCATCTTGGATTTGACCTCTCACGGTCCTCACGGGTCAAATCTGACTTCCCTCCACATCTGAAAATAAACCTTATGGTATGCACTAACTATGTTAGAAATGTCATGCTTTTCTCATAAAATGCACAATTGTTGTGCTTATCCGCTGTACTATTTGAGTGCAAACATAATTCCTACGTGGCCCGTGATGAAATTGAGTTTGACACCCCTGTTGTAAAGTGTGAAACAAATCACCATTTATTAATGAGTTACTACCATTTCTAATAAGGCTTAGCAGTACAGATAAATGTGGGCTCACTATTTGGCAAGCAGCCGGTCACAGTTGCCCTGTTTATCTCATGTCTTATAAAAGTTTATTAATGATTTATAAAGTTTTCACAACCTAATTAATAAATGAATTACAAACTATTCGTAAACCCTTTATACGGGTAGTCTTATTGTAAAGTGGTACCGATAAGTTAACCTGTTAAGCCCTGAGCCTGTTTTTCAGGTCTCAGGCTCGAAAATGCCATTCCCAGAACAAATGACTATAACTTCACTTCTAAAAGGGTTAAATTAATAATCTTTTTTCTCAAAGTAATGATAAACCTGTGAGTTGGATGTAGAAAAGTCAGAATCAATATAGATGTTTTTTATTTTAAAGAAAATTCAGATTTTACATAGTAAAAAACTGTAAATTATAGTGTCCGTCCAAAAATTATTTTTTACTTATAGTGAAAACTACCCTTGGATGATGGGTTAGTAGACTAAAAGCTTTAGGAATCCAAAGTACAACATATAATAAGTACCCTGTATCAAGATTGATGCAAAACAAGTGACACTCACAAAACCTTATTCATTATCTTTTCACCACATCCAACACATCGTTTCACATCGTGAGGTGACACAGAATCTAACGACACCAACATTACCACTGAATGATACGTATTTGCGACGTTATAAGCAAAAACGGACATCAAAACAGGTGACGCTAGGTAGCTAAAAATGCTAACATTTTTACCTTGGCTCTGTAGTCTCTCCAAAGTGGTCTTCAATGGCATTAAAACGATAAAAACGCTGCTGAAGCTAATTCAAAACGGTCCTTTATTGTAATTACTTTTATCTGAGTTGCATGTTTGCTTTGACGTATCATTGTAGGTCATGCCTTTTAAGGCCAGACAACAATCTTGCCAGCTGCCGTTGATAGTTGACACTTACCTCACTGTGAGCAGCATTTCCTGAAATGAAAAGTGACAGGAGGCAGCCTTGCAGTAATTGTTCTGTTCTTGCCTCTAATTGGACACAGTGTGAGTCGAATACTGAGGCTCTGGATGCCTTCCAGACAAAGGTAGGATAATTGTGAGACATACATTTTGTGAATTGGCTTTTCTAATTTAGAGAGCTGTACTCTAATAATGGGATGTACAGAAGGTACTTTATATATTGGTCGGATGGAATTTAATTAAGGCTGGTACGTAATTATTTATATAGCTGACGGGAATTTTAATCTACAAGAAAGGGGATTTGAACAAGAAAACCTCCATAATACACCTCATGTATTAAAACAGTGGATCCATTGAGATGTTTCCAATGGAGCAACGTTAATATCTCTGTCAGTTAATTCCAGGTTTTTGTGTAGAATCCCAGGGTTTTTCTCTTTAAGCAACCATTTAACACTCAGCAATCGTACAGTTGACAAATCCATTATAAGGAAGAGGCAGAGATAAATATTCCTCCACCAGCTGCACGAGTGCAAACTAAAGCAAGATTAACATATAGGCTCTAATTGAAAAGAAGCATCAATTTACCCTGAGAGAGACTAGAAGATCGATACGACACATGCTAAGTGAGCTAAAGCCAGCAGACACTCGCTTAGAATAAAGACCGATGGCAACAGAAAGCAACTCATGTTTCAAATCATATTTAAAGCTCAATATCATGTTAAATTTAATCTGTACAATCCTGGAGACTTGTTGTCATCATAAAGGCAATGTGCCAGGGCAATAACAACTCCCATAAAACCAAAACTTGTCATCTTTACATGTATGTTTTGTTCTGCCAGGTGTATTTATTTACCATTCGGACCGAGGGGCAACTGCTGGGTCTAAAAAGGCAAGCGGATATGCATTAATCTACTAAAGTATACAGATTGAATAGAAGTCTATGAGAGGATAGCTTGATTTAATACTACAGTAAACATTTATGGTCTCAATTGCTACTTTCAAGTCTTCTTCAATACTGAACGATGGAGAGTAAATTCGACGAGGCAGGGTGTGTTTTAGCGCCAGGGTAAAGACACACAAGGAGTTGGGAACTGTAGCCAAAAGTGGCATCCAATTAAAATCACAGCTTCTCCTCACACCTCCTCTTCTCCATCTCTTTGGTCACCTCTTGTTCCAACACACAAAATGGCGACAGCCCCAAAGCCAAACTCCCAAATTCATCGCATCAGATTTGAACCAAATCAATGGGTAACATCACAGTGACTATTCTTTAATACAGTCTATAACTAAGATGTTGCCAGGCGCTTTATCAGTTTCCAGTCTTTATCTATTATTTATTTGTTTTTCCACATGTATATATATTATCTATTTTTTGTTTTATATTCTTAAACTTTTACATTTTTAATGCTATTTTATTTCTATTTCTGAAATATTTTGGACTGTTTATCTATCTATCTATCTATCTATCTATCTATCTATCTATCTATCTATCTATCTATCTATCTATCTATCTATCTATCTATCTATCTATCTATCTATCTATCTATCTATCTATCTATCTATCCATCTTATTCTAAGCTAAGATAATATCCTGTGGGATCTAGCTCCTTATTTAGACATGCATGAGAGTGGTATTTCTCTTCTATCAAGTAAGATATTCATTAAATTTAGTTACTGATTTATAAAGATGACTAGTGACCAGAGGTATGTTTTTCCTGAAATCCGACACCTGCCAGCTGATCATTAACGTATTTTGGTCAACGTTTCAGTTTTTTCAGTGTCTCTGCATTTTGTTTGCAGCACATTTGCATTACTTCTGGAGGCAGGATGCAGTGTGCAGAATTAAATGGCATCACTTATGCATATATGCTTTAATGTTTGATGTGAAATGTCTTTCTTTGCCTGTAGATGTTGGAAGGATTGTGAGAGTAAACAACCATTTCCATATCAACCCTCTCACTTGTTAAATGTGAACAAGTTGTGCGTGGGAGTCAGCTTCACAACTTGATCCTGCTGAAGATCCCTTGGATTTGAGACAATCAATGTGGCAAAAACAAACACTTCTTGTGAGCGTTACAGCGCTGTGTGATCTCTTCTTTATTCATGATCTCTCCTTGTCTCGCTCTCAGAAGCTGAATGTGCAATTTTTTTCAGGACAGCATTGCAAATCCCCCCAAAACAAATCCCCTCGAATCTTACCTGCCACCATTTGAAGGTTTCATCAGAGAGGAGGCTGTTCTCCCGGGACATCAGAGGACTGAAGGACTGATTGAAGCGCTCTGAGAACCAGGGGTCGTCTTCCAGCTCTGTCATACATCGCTGGCATGCACAAAGCCCTTTGGAGAAGAAGGTATCCGACAGGCGAAATGCGTACTTGAAGAAGTACAGCGAGGGGTCCCGGAACGTGTAGCTGAACAGGAATGTTGTGAATGAAATGACGCAAAAAAGCAACGCTAAAGTCCTGATTTTCCTACGCTTTGGAAGAAGCATGTCGTCACAAAAATCAGGGTTCAAATGTCTCTCTGATGTCCGATATGCATTCCCTGTTGTTCCTACTTTGCAGGCTCAAGATTGGGTTCATGAAGGATCCTGATGAAACTCATGGAGGTGCTTTGTTTGCAGAGTAATCCACACAAAAGGATGGTTACTGATTATTTCTGACTGCTGCTGGATAGTCGAGTTCAGGCTGTTTTTATTCTGTTGACTCTGTGGGGTGAGTGACTGATGTGTCGTCCATTCCTCTGATGATCCACCTAAAAGGCAAATAAAAAAAGATATTTTGTGAGTACTTTTTTACTTTAAACACACACTGTCAATTGACCAAGTATTCTCATTAATTCACTGTACAAACAGTTCAACAATCAAACCCTATGTAACATCTGCTACTGTTTTACGTGCATGACTGTGGAAAGTTTCCCATAAAAGTTTCATACTTTGTTTATTGCCTTGTTTTCCTCCTTCAAGATTGCCAAATCACACAAGATGTGCTGCAGTCTCTCAGCTCTTAAAAAGACCATCAAGCTGCAGAAATGTCTCCATTGATTGTGAAAATGATTACAGTTCTCCCACTGTTAAGGGCATGCCAATAACCAGAAGCTGCTTTTGTTAACGGATATAAAATGAAAGTCCTACTCCACTAGTCGTCCACACACTGGGATAGAACCAGAATGAGTTATTGATCCAGTGTCACATCCTAAAAAAATCGAATAATGTCTACTTAATGTGGATTTTGCAGATCTTTTCGCTTTATTTTCTATGCTTTTTACACCTCGGAAACTTCAAAATGATGGATTGAAATGTATTTTTTTTAACATTTTTAACACCAGAAGGTTAAACATCCTAATGTAAAACAGGGTGAAATTTCAAGAGTTGCCAGGGGTATGTGGAAGATTGTGGTGTCGCATCATCTAGTTGCCAAAGAAAGTGCCTTTGGGCAACTTGCACACCCTTACACAATGCCAAAATAAACAATGTGAACAAATATAAATGAATTTGATCTTGGTTTTCTAGCTGATGGAGAAATTGCAGCCCTTATCTTTCTTGTGTTGACAACTAGAAAACACAGTATAACCATCTAGCTAACATCAACTTTCTGACATTGGGGTTTTCATGACTGAATAAACGCCCAAAGATCTCTTGAAATCTGGTCAAATCCACTCTTTGCAACAAGGATACATTGTTCAAATTAAGTCCTAAAACCATTGGATAAAAGGCTGAAATAGTATCTAAAGTAGTGAAGCATTGAAACACATTTTCACACAAGCTTATATGCAGAAGGCCTTAAGGCTAATGGCGGGATTAGAAGTAATGGATACTGTAACTAACTTAAATTAGATTAAAAAATCTGCTTCTGTGACACCAAGGAAGTAAAACAAATGTAGACCTGACTACAGTTTGAATTGCATGACAAAAATAACCACATTCATATCCACTTTTATATGACAACTGGAGGTACATCTGGCTAAAAGGGCAAGGCAGCACTGGTGTAAACTGGTATTTTCTAGCGACAGTCAGTCAGTAACCTGCTATCGACACAATTCCCAGAATAAAATAGAGAAGGGGATTTATGACTGATAAAGCAGGCGGACCACCTGGGGTTTAATTTAAACATGAAAAAGCCACCTCTGCCTTTTAAACACAGCCCGGATTTCATTTTGATGTGCAGCTGTGTTCAGGGTTTCACAAATGCATCTATATTTAGATAACAGCAAATCCACGCTGCAGATAAAGTCCTGCCATCCCCACACATGCTGAGCCATATATCTGAAAAATGAACACATGCATATCTGCCGTTTGCTCTCGACAACTTCTGAGTGAGCCCTCCATATAAAAGATGTGTGGGAAAGTCTTTCACTACAAAAGGAGAAAGAGAGACTGTGGGTCTTTTTCCTGATTAGAAATTGATCAAGTCATTTAAATTCCACCCTGGAGGAAAGCAAAGAGGATTGGGTTTAAGACTCAGAAAAAAGACTGCGCAGCGACACTATTGATGTTCAGAGATGGCAAAAGTACACACATCCTTTCCTCAAGTAGAAGTACAGATAATCGTGTTTAAAAATACTCTGGTAAAAGTAGAAGTACTGACTAAACTTCTTTCCTCAAGTAAAAGTAAAGAGGGCTTTGAAATGTACTTCAGTAAAAAGTACCCATAACTAGCAGCTGTTTTAAAGAGTACCTGACCTCCCTTTATATTAATAGAACAATAATGTCATTGTTAGCTAATGAATGTTTCCATGCTGAACAACGGCAACATGACAACGTTTTCATTGGTCCCTCTTCTTTAGAGAAGACCAGGAAATGATGGATACACGGATCGTGTTCAAATCAATAGGCACGCAATGACTCTAAATAATAATGATCACGCCACCAAACACACATTCAAACTAAAGTAACCAGCCTGTTTGGGAAATGTAAGAAGTAGAAAGTACAGGTATTTGGGTTCAACATGTAAGAAGTAGAAAGTACAGGTATTTGTGTTCAACATGTGAGAAGTAGAAAGTACAGGTATTTGTGTTCAACATGTAAGAAGTAGAAAGTACAGGTATTTGGGTTCAACATGTAAGATGTAGAAAGTACAGGTATTTGTGTTCAACATGTAAGAAGTAGAAAGTACAGGTATTTGGGTTCAACATGTAAGAAGTAGAAAGTACAGGTATTTGTGTTCAACATGTAAGATGTAGAAAGTACAGGTATTTGGGTTCAACATGTAAGATGTAGAAAGTACAGGTATTTGGGTTCAACATGTAAGATGTAGAAAGTACAGGTATTTGGGTTCAACATGTAAGAAGTAGAAAGTACAGGTATTTGGGTTCAACATGTAAGAAGTAGAAAGTACAGGTATTTGGGTTCAACATGTAAGAAGTAGAAAGTACAGGTATTTGGGTTCAAAATGTAAGAAGTAGAAAGTACAGGTATTTGTGTTCAAAATGTGAGAAGTAGAAAGTACAGGTATTTGGGTTCAAAATGTAAGAAGTAGAAAGTACAGGTATTTGTGTTCAACATGTAAGAAGTAGAAAGTACAGGTATTTGTGTTCAACAAGTAAGAAGTAGAAAGTACAGGTGTTTGTGTTCAACATGTAAGAAGTAGAAAGTACAGGTATTTGTGTTCAAAATGTAAGAAGTCAAAGTAAAAAGTCGTCAGAAAAATAAGTAGTGGAGTAAAGTACTGATACCGGAACAATGTACTTAAGTACAGTAACGAAGTATTTGTACTCCACTACTTCCCACCTATTTTGATTTTTCGCTCACCTCATCAGAGCGGGAAAACAAACTGTACAGCCGTTTATCAGCAGCTCTGACACACAGGAAGCTTTATAAGTGATCCCTTCTGCTGCTCAGAGCTCTCTAACTCACAGCAGAGAGGATCTGCATACAGCTCAAGGTTGCTTATTGTCAAAGGCAGCAGGATGGCAAGGATAACTGGAAACCTATAATGGAAACCTCTATGAATGGACCTACTTCCAAGGGGGAAAGATCTTAAAAGTAAAAAATACCACAGTGTAGAAATACTGTTGCTACTCAAAGTCTGGCATTCAAAAGAGTAAAAGTATTAGCATGAAATGATACGTAAAGTAATCATTATGCATGCATTGCATTCTGCATTATTTGTGTTATCACTGGATTCTAATGTAATGTTAAAACTGTTTTAATTTTGCAGCTGGAAAAAGGTGGAGCTAACTTGTTGATTGTTTATACTGCCACTTATGTTATTCTGTAATAGCATGTAATTTAATATGTATTATTATTACACGGCTTAGTTGAACACTCAAATCTGATTGGTCGATTTGGACATTCCAGAGGTTGTTCATTTTCCCTAACTGACCGTACACTAAAGGGAACAGCAGAAGATAATGAATGTTTCCATGCTGAACACGGCAACATGACAACGTTTCATTGGTCCCTCTTCTTTAGAGAAGACCAGGAAATGATGGATACAAACGGATCGTGTTCAAATCAATAGGCACGCAATGACTCTAAATAATAATGATCACGCCACCAAACACACATTCAAACTAAAGGAACCAGCCTGTTTGGGAAATGTGAGAAGTAGAAAGTACAGGTATTTGTGTTCAACATGTAAGAAGTAGAAAGTACAGGTATTTGGGTTCAACATGTAAGAAGTAGAAAGTACAGGTATTTGGGGTTCAACATGTAGAAGTAGAAAGTACAGGTATTTGTGTTCAAAATGTAAGAAGTAGAAAGTACAGGTATTTGGGTTCAACATGTAAGAGAGTAGAAAGTACAGGTATTTGTGTTCAAAATGTAAGAGTAGAAAGTACAGGATTTGTGTTCAACATGTAAGAAGTAGAAGTACAGGTATTTGTGTTCAACATGTAAGAAGTAGAAAGTACAGGTATTTGTGTTCAACATGTAAGAAGTAGAAAAGTACAGGTATTTGTGTTCAACATGTAGAAGTAGAAAGTACAGGTTATTTGTGTTCAAAATGTGAGAAGTCAAAGTAAAAAGGTCGGCAGAAAAAATAAGTAGTGGAGTAAAGTACTGATACCAGAGAAATGTGCTTCAGTACAGTAACGAAGTATTTGTACTCCACTACTTCCCACCTCTATATGACAGGCTGTTGACTGCTCTCAGTTTGAAGTCCCTGGACATTAAAGGTTCAGGTAGATGTGAGAGAGGCAGAATTAATTCTCAAACAGGTGGCAGCTCCACACTTTTGACACAGGCCATCATTTCGTTCCCTGACCTTGTCCGACTGAAAGCTGGCAGCCCGGCGCTGATCAAAGTCTGTAGAGTGAGAGAGCGTCTGTTCACACTTCAGAGGCTGAGAGACAAAGAGAGAGAGAGGGGGGGGTAAGCAGCAGTGTGTGAGCTGTGGTTTCACCCATATTTTTGTATTGTCTTCCCGAAAATGCGCAACGTCCTGTCCACCCCTTAAAAAATAAAGCTTATATAAACACACGTGTGGTTTTGTGGTACAGAAATGCATGAGAAATTTGTGAGATCTATTTTGACTATATTTAAGATCAGGGGAAAAAAACGTCAATGGATAATCCCATACTGGTCAAAGTTAAGTGAGAAATCCAATCAAATTTGAATAAAACATCCATCGTTCAATGAAAGCACCCTAAAAGCATCCATTATATTCTTGTGGCATTAAGATGGAATAACCCCTTGTTCTGACTTAAAAACGTTCTGGAGAACAACAGGAAGGCACATCACATTTACAAGAGTTTTCATTTTGTGTAGCGAGGAAATTATTTGTATCCCAGCTTTACCTCTGCAATTTCAGAAATCAGAATACTGCCGTTCTGAAGCTTGTCGAGTGAACCAGTGGGAGTTAACATGGAAAGTGACCTTGGCACAGCAGCTCGTTCAGATTGTAAATGTGGTTTTAATTCAACATGTCGGTATAGTACTTTTATTCAAGGTAACACTTTCACAGAGAGACATTCAATTCAATCAAAAAGCTTAAACCTGTATTCCAATTATGTTTGTATTAACTTTAATCACTAATTATCCACACAGTAAGTGGAATAAGCCGATAGAGATTGTCTCAGTCAATACAAAAAAGAGCTCCCTTACAACGAATAGTAATCAGACCAGCTGTCTCCAACCTTCTTATTTACATGAAATGGTGAGGCATATACCCCCGAGATCATGACCGAAAGAACGAGATCGCGGATACAAGTGGCCGAGCCAGTTGAGGTGGTTCGGGCACCTAGTAAGGATGCCACCTGGGCGCCTCCCTAGGGAGGTGTTCCAGGCACGTCTAGCTGGGAGGAGACCGAGGGGTAGACCTAGGACCAGGTGGAGGGATTATATCTCTTCGCTGGCCTGGGAGCGCCTTGGGACCCCCCAGTCAGAGCTGGTTGATGTGGCCAGGGAAAGGAACGTTTGGGGCTCTCTGCTGGAACTGATACCTCCACGACCCGACCACGGAGAAGCGGGAGAAGATGGATGGATGGATGAATATCAAACAAAATGCTCTACATACAGCATGTTAGCAGATAAGAGTCCCAGCTTTAAGTTTTGTCAGTCACATAGTGTTTTTATAATATGCTAATACACCTTAACAGACAGCTGGAGCCGGTGATGTTGCATATTGTCAGAAAAGCCCCTTAGAAACTGTAAACGAAAAGCAGACTGGTTTCTTAATATGAACAACATTACGCCAAAGCGAGTAATAAAAAGCTCTCTGCTCTCATCAACATTCAATATCTGAAACTCCACAGACGGGATGAATAAGAAGAGATGTAAAAGGCAACGCACACAAAACCTAGGGGGATTTTCTGTGAAATTGCAGCTCTATAACTAATAATATCACTCAGGGAATAAAAAAATGAAAACGCTCCAGATTTTTACATTTGATGGCATCACATCTAGGAGACTTCACACATTAGACTCTGGCTTTGGCGAAGGGTATTTCATTTTCACAGATATTGACTTTGAGTCGGAGCTTTATTTTGATAAAAAAGCGTAGGCCTGGTTGTGTTTCTCGCTCGCTCGATCTCATAAAGAGGATTCTGGGGGCATGAGAGGGATTGAAATATCTTCACATAAGATTTGAATTAATGTAGAAATAACTCTGAAGTTAGTTCTCAGAGATGAACAGAATACAGAGTCAGTCGTCACGAATAGTTCATTAAATTCAAGGTGAAACAACCTACAGTAACCACATGTTCTTTGTTGCTCCATAACACAAGGCTAAAGCCAAGTTTACTGTAAGAAACATCAGTCTGTTTTATGTTGAGGCTTTTTAATGGATTTCTGAAAGGGCTGTAACCCCTGGTTCAATTAAAGCCTTTTAAATCCAGAGGACAAAATAGCAAATGCAAAGTGGTCCAAGTAATGTGTCCTGACATTTTGAAGGTGAGAAGAGTTCATTTTTGCCCAGGAGCAATGCGTTATTTATACATTTTTAAACTTGCATGGTGTGCTTTTGTCTAGCTATTGATGTTTACACATTCTGATTTGAGTATGTGACCAAAATCCTCACACAGGTCATCAGAGGAAACAAAACAGTAAATATCCAAAGTGACCATTTAGAATAGAATAGAATAGAATAGGGAGGGATGAAACCCTCTTTAATGGTCACACATGCAGAGCACACAGCACACACAGTGAAATTTGGCCTCTGCTTTTAACCCATCCTAGTACAAGGAGTCTAGTACTAGGAGCAGTGGGCAGCTATTGTACAGCGCCCGGGGAGCAATGGGAGTGGGGGGGAAGGGGGGTGTCCGGTGCCTTGCTCAAGGGCACCACGGCAGGGCAGGAGGTGAACTGGGACCTCTCCAAGTAGAAGTCCACACTCCATATTTAGGTCTGGTCGGGGACTTGAACCAGCGACCCTACGGCTCCCAGTCCAAGCCCCTACTGACTGAGCCACTGCCGGACTATTTGCTCTTGTTGTGATGACATGAAGGATTGATAAGACTGCAGGCACTTATTTGTTGAAGGATAGAAGATTGAACACAGCGGGATGTGACAAGTGAACCACAGGAAAAAGAGGAATATATGCCATAAGGCTTTCATTGTAAAAGTAAAAAAGAAATTGAGGAATGACCCATTATCTGACTAAGGTTACAAGGAATTATGCATTTTCCCATGAATCTTAGGAGTGTGGAGCCTCCGTGTTGTTGTCTTGATAATCCAAGCTCTTCTACAACGTGATTCTTTGATTTGCAGTTTTAAAAAACACAGAAAAAAATTTCCATGTTTCAATAAATATCTCCGGGTTAGGGTTAGGGTTAGGGTTAGGGTTAAGAAATGCATCATACCCAACCGTTATCTTAGCATGGTTTGCAAAGGTGATGTCTATTTTGCCATTGGAGAGATTATCAAGTGTTAAAAGGGACTCTTGATGAGTTTTTAGGGGACTGGTACACAATAGCACAATAACACTTTTGTTGTTTTTGCTACGATTTGTCTTAAATGATCAGAATACAACATGATAAACAGCTGTAAAGATAAGAGAAATACTATGTATTTTTTCATTTTTGGGATGTACTGTCCCTTTAAGGAGGCATATTGTTTACCACCAAGCAAAAGTCATTACACTTCCTCCTATGCAGCCCATGAATATGTGTCAAAACGCAACATCTTGCAAGAAACAGCGTCTGAGGGCTTCTTAACATTTAACAAACTATGAATGTGTCATACCCACTTAACGGGAAGAAACTCAGCTATCAGACAATATGAACCATTTTTAGCTAAACAAAACCCAAGGGTAATACCAAGCCTCTGAATTAGCCCTGAGCGGAAAGATTTGAACGCACTTAGCACAGAACTCACGGTAGAAATACTTTATTACTTATCGGATACAACGTAGCTTCACGGGACCAAAGCGGAAAATAAGTCTTACCGTTGCTGTTTTCTGATCAAAAGTTGTGTTCAATGGCATTAAAACGCATAAAACGCTGCTGAAGGTTAATCCAATGGTTAATCCAATGTGTCTGTGTCACTTTGAAATGATTACTGATAATCCATCTTCATATGTCAATAACGGAGATTTCATATTAGCTGCTACGAGAGTGTTTGACGGTTTTGGGCATTCTGGCTGTGCATCACTCATTCACCAATGGGTAATGTTTAGATGGATTTTAGGAACTTCCCCTCGATTCTATTGGCTCTAACGGTTACAAAGAGGTGTCAATCATCAAAATCGACCGATGGGTTCCAGAGATATGGAAAATCCACCCAAATGACCCCAGAAGTGTTTTTTGTTTTCTAAACCTCTCTAAAAAGGTCAAATGTCACTTGTTTTGCATCAATCTTGATACAGGGTACTTATTATATGTTATAGTTTGGATTCCTAAAGCTTTTAGTCTTCTATCCCATCATCCAAGGGTGGTTTTCACTATAAGTAATTTTTATTTTTGGACGGACACTATAATTTATATTTTTTTACTATGTTCAATCTGAATTTACTTTAAAATAAAAAAATCTATATTGATTCTGACTTTTCTACATCCAACTCACAGGTTTATCATTGCTTTGAGAAAAAAGAGTATTAATTTACCCCTTTTAGAAGGGAAGATATAGTCATTTGTTCTGGGAATGTCATTTTCGAGCCTGAGGCCTGAAAAACAGGCTCAGGGCTTAACAGGTTAAAATGTGTCACATCATGCACGTGTTAGACATGCATTGTGAAAGGTGTGGATTTTGTTGAAATGAAGCTTATTATATGGCAACTTTGAGGGGACAGAAATGCACGGTGTGTCCTTGTTCCTTGGATTTTCCGTGAATTATTGAGGTGATTGCCACCCTGCCACAAAGCAGCAGATATTCATCACTGATCTTCCCATTAACATCATCCCCTGCTCCTTTTATGTCCTTGTTGCTGTAGCTTTACTGTTATGAACACGGCTCTAATGGACCTTTACTCATTTGCCCTGGCTCAGCAGCTCATTATTCCCTAATTTTATTATTGCAAAATTGCATTATCCATTAGACACTCTCTCTCTCTCTCTCTCTCTCACTGTATTTCTTCTGATTACTGCAGAGTCTTTTTCGTCACGTCCTTCACACACACATCCGTGCACCTTAAGTTGCCGGGAGCAATAAAGTTTCCATGGTGTGTTAACTCCCTGAGAGGCTGCTTACTCACTGAATACAGAGCGCTGCAGGAGATGAACCTTCACACGATGATTCTGAACTATTCCCCCAGCTCTCACTTACTATTTTAAACCTCTTAACATGCATTCACCTTTCATTTGGGAAAAATCCTCTCATTCCACTGTTTTTCACATCACCTTGTTCCACTTTTGGAGCTATATGTCATTTATATATTAAAACCCAAGACTCAATGCTTTTTTGTTTTTT